TGTCACGCGGGATTCGCGTAATTAAATAGAACACTCGTTTCGGAAGTTTCGTAGAGAAAGAACAACAGTAAGTGACGAAGAAGAAAAAGAATTTAAGAACGATTCAAAATTTCAAAGTAGGTGGTCAGGAACCAGAGAAAAGGGTGATAAAAAGTGGATGATAAAGAAACATGTCGCATCATCACACCTTGTCTCTGCTGGTCATAATTTTCTAATTTACAACTATTTATTAAAGCTTAAATGAAATGCTGACTAGTAAGAAAAACAAGCATAGTTCAAAATGCAATAAAAATTGTTGTATAATTAATTAACCGTGTCAACAGTCAACCGTGACCATGGGACCTGTAAAGGCCCGAAACGTCGGTTTGTTTGAAAAAACAAATATACGCGATTTAAATCCAGAAAAATAGTTTCATTTCCTATGTGTAACAATCGCGAAAACCTAAGAACTCGATATAATTAATTAATTTAATACGCAAAAGTCAAAGGTTACTGAACATTAACTAGTATTGTTTGTATTGGAGTTTGCCTTCCAATTGGTGTATTACAGCTTACGTGGTTATGCCAACGTAGTAAATTAGCTTTAATTTACATAGAAAATTGTAAATAGTGTTTCCAATTTTGTAGATAATCTTCAAAGGTCAGCAATCGTATCATAAAATAGTCTCACCGCTTTGTTTTGGGTAATGAAACTACTTAATTCCAAGTTAAAACTACAACTTAATTTACCCACTGTCGCCGTGCAGACCATTTGAACATATTGAACTCTGCTACACGCTGCCGCGCTCAATTACCTATACTTTGCAAAATTGTAATAGAATACACATACTCGTAAATAAATGTAAATAAAATAACCTGGACGAGGTTATATTGTCTATTTCAAGAAAGTGTTTATTTTAAGAAAGGGATTCTTAAAATAAACTACATAAGTAAACAATTATTCTAAAATTGTAGTGACTAGGTAACAATAGTTCTAGGTAAAAATGTGGCGACACAACACAAGGGCAATATATCAAATTTATTATACCTTTTTAGTAGCAATAGAGCTCGCTGTGAAAGAGTTCGTCCAGGGAAGTACTGCCACCTTACCTGTTTCTGCCGCCAAGCAGTAATATTAGCGTTACTGCGTTCCGGTTTTGAAGGGCAAGGGTGCTGGTGAAATTACAGGCATACAGGACTTGTCCACTTATGTCTCAGGGTGACGGGCTCAGTGACTGTGCCCCTCAGATCTTTGCAATTTAAAGCTCTGAGTGGCACTGTAACTGTTATGGACAGGCGTGGAACTTACCATCAGGTGCAAGACTTGTTCGTCCCGTCACTTGATATTATAATTTAAAAAAAACCTATTATGAATTGAGTTATTTTAAATATGTATTTCTAGCAGTATATGTATGTGACCATTACTGTGTTCCGGTCTTGAAGGGTAAATGGGCTGGTGAAACTACAGGCACGTGTCAACTTTATAATTCAAGGTGACGGGTGCGGTGGTAGTGTCCCCTCAGGTCTTTGCAATTTAGAGCTCTGAATGGCATTGAAACTATTATTCACCAACACGCGTGTTGCTTACTGTCGTCCCGTCACTTGTGTTCGTAAAAAGTTACATTATATACGATGAATAGGACAATAGCGTGAGAGGAGTAATTCTATCCATACAGCCCCAATTTTAATTATGAAACGTTATATAATGGACCTAAAACTATTCACAGTAGAATGTATTTCTTTACTTCACCAGTAGCAGGTAAGTGAACCACTGAAGCTTCACGACGAACACCAACCCTAACAAACAAAAATACGTATTTTTATACATTAGCAAGATACAGTTAAAATGTAATATTCACCGTGTAAGACTCAGTACTTTCAATAATAGCAGTAAATAGTGACTGTTCTTCCCGTTCTTATAACCATCGTATTTGCATTTCGGTAACTTTTCAGATTTGACACCCAAAGGATTTTTTGCTGGTAAAACGAGTAAAAATGTCAATTACGCTGATTTCGCTTAACAACAAAACTGAAATAACATTTAAAAAAATCGCTTATAAGAGAGTAATAGCGCGGCTTGTATGTGTGCGCGACCACCGCGCGCTGGGTAGGGACGCACACATTCGCGTAATAATGAAAGGCGCGTTGGAACGACCAGTATCATGCAACGCAAGTGCATCGCAAGATTATGCGAATGTGTGCGTCTGTACATTGCGCACACAGATACAAGCCGCGCTGCTACGTTTAATGGACTTGTCTTACTAAACTGTGTTATTATGGCCCTGTCCATAATTCACCGAATCTTTAAAATACGACACAACGAACGAATTTTCAATAAATTATATAAATCTTCTGGCTTGTAACTTTAGATAAGAACATCTTATTAAATTACATATTAAATCATCAACATTCCTTTACTAAACTTATCTGTATTCACATTGCATTCATTTAACTGCCTCCGTGGCCGAACGGTTACCATACCGGACTGCCACGCAGAGGTCCCCGGGTTCGATTCCCGGGCCGGGAGAAATATTTGTATGGCCTACATTTATTTCTCTCGTGAGTTTGGGTGTAATTTGTGGTTGTCTATGTGTGTGTCCATGGCACCCGCGACACAGGGTTTCCCTAGTGTGGGGCTATGTTGAGTGTGTGCGTTATTATTATTATTATTATTATTATTATTATAGGCGTTGTTACATTCGTTAACATTTTGTTTAAAAAAAATTGGATCCGGTACTCCACTCTAATCCTAATTCTTGAAATTCGTTACCATCTAGTCCAAAATCAAACTTCTCGTAATCATTATACTCTATTTAAAGTACAGTTTCCCCCCAAGCCGTCCTTAAAACCACCCCGCTTTCGTCGAGATAGAGATAATCGTTTTGCACTCCAAAGTGCACCCGGCTCATCGATCAGTTATCAAATTAAAGAATATTAATAGATGAATAATCTTTGTTGACGTCGCAGAATTCCTATTCTTATTTCCTTCAAATTAATTGAAAACTACAATACTTCTTCATACTTTAACATCTACATAAAACAAAACCCATTCAAGGCACTCAATGAATTTAAATTATCGAGTTCTTAGGTTTTAAAATAGAAATTACTAAAAAACTTATTACACCACCAGCAAAGGGTAAAAGGTTAGTGATTCGTAACTCCAAAATAGCGCTGAATAAATATAATAAATCTAATCATTAAATCAGTATCAGGCATAGAAGTTTCTTCCGTGGAAATTTTATAAATCTAATATAAAAAAAAATAGCAATTATATCAACAAATGGGGTGCACGAAAGGAGCTTCCCAGCAAGACGTACCATTCCTTTCATATACGTGAGCAACAATCGGTGAATACCTTACTTTGATTGACAAATCCTATCACCACGATAGCATTATTAGTATATGCCATCGTACAATAAAAAGAAGATTGGTATAGTTATCTGGCACATTATTATTATTCGTGCTAAAGAGGGCGATATTCAAGGAGGTTCTACTAAATCTTTTACTAAACGATGATATGAAAGAAAGAAGAAAGAAAGAAAAGTATTTTGTTTGGTAAACTTATGACAAAATATATAAAACAGGATGATAACAAAAATAAAATAATCTTATGATAAAGCACAAAATAAAAGAATTACATTTAAAAGTTACCAAAATGGTCACCGCTCAGCTTTTTGTAACAAGACGTGTGAAAACACCTTAATAAATAACAAAGATGATATCGCTTCATCCAAGCTGATAAAATAATTAAAAAATATATCAATAGATTTCACTAGGCGTAAATCAAAACTTAAATGCAAATCAAAAAGTAAAATAGCATGCTATAAAAAGGGGTGTACGTGTTGAGTAGGTGGGATGTAATAAAACCATTTGTATCAATTACCTACGCCAAAAATGAGTGCAACTCAACCTTTGCCCGCGGAATGACAAAAATATTTTTCAGTAATATTTGTCAAAAATTAAATAGAAACTGAAAAGTTACCTTTCAAAACGGGAGGTATTGAACATGTACAGACGGATCTTATTCCGTTGCTATGGAGGCGATAGTCGATATATATAAAAAGTGCTTAATATTATTTTTATGTTGATACTAGCTGTTGACTGTACATTGATCTCTCCAAAGAATACGAATAAAAAACATAAGTTCGTTCAAATTTCACATAAATGAGGAGGATCAAAAATGGCTAGATTTTCTTTTGTTACAAAGGCTGGGCCCAGAAGTGAGATGTATGACAATTGATTATGATTCAACTTTACCTATATGAATCTTTTATCTTATAAAGATGATTTCATTGTACGCAACGAAAAAAATCGGGACAGCAGAAGTTGGTCAAATTTAATAAAATATTTTTCATCCAAAATGAATAAAATTTAGTAATATTTTTGTAATGCTCAGACTCAGTTTCTTACAAGAATGATTTAATTGTATTGGAAGAAAAGAATCGGAACAGCAAGAAGTGGTCAAATTTAATAAAATGTTATTCATTTTGTATAAAAAAATCTTTTTATTGAATTTGACCAACTACTGCTGTTCCGATTTTTTTCTTACAGTACAATAAAATGACCCTTACATAAAACGAAGCCTATCCGGATTTGGAAAAAAAAATGGTCAATTTTATTCATTTTGTATGAAAAACATTTGATATTTAATTAAAGCAACTTCTGCTGTCTCGATTTTTCGTCTCATACAATGAAATATGAAACAGAGTCGATCAGCACTAAAAAAGTTTTGATAAATTTTATTCATTTTTATGAACAACTCACATATTATGTTTAAAATGGTCTTACAAAGCTCTTTAATTTGATACCTATCAGAATGAAATTCAAAATTTCTTTCGATTGTATAAACAAGACCACCATTTACATATAATTTACCCAGTCCTGAAAACAACGCATATCCCGAAAAGCAATTTCCATAAAAAGTTCCGATTCAACGAGACGCGATGTGTATGTGCGCGTTTGCGTCCATCAGTGACGTCCCACGCGGTTATATAGTTGCCGGCGCAGGAACTTCATAAATAGTCGCTACCAAGACACGTTCAGTGTCTTAAGTACAACATACAGCCATCTGTGTTATTTTGTGCCGGGTTTGAAGGAGCCGGGTGTTATCTACTAAAGGTAGGCTTTACTTTGTTTAATGTAGTATTGACGAATAGTAGGTTTCTTAATTCACTTATATTTTTTCTTATTTCCATGTCTTAAATAGATATTTACTATTAATATTAGAAAGTAATTGAACGATTTATTTTTCATATTTTTCAACCAAATCTCATAGGTTGTTTGTCAATTGTTTTTATCATCCGTATCTATTTTAAAATCCTGTATCAATCGTAATTTTAATGTAATAACTTAAGATTACTATTTACTAAGTGTTAAAATCGTGTACAATCTCAAACTTAAACATCAGGCATTGATGTACTTATCACCTATGTAATATGAGATGGTCTTGTATATAATCTAATAATCAGCAAATTTTATGTGCTATACATTTTTTCTACATTCCTTTGTTCAAAACTTACGTGTCACAATTGACAGCTAAATAAAATTAATTTAATGCAATTTGGGAACAGTTCTGTAGTGCAAGAATGAACCCTCATAAGACTCGCCACAGCTCTTAAAACTATTTAAAATCCATATTACAGACATTCTACAACCACTTTAGTAACTAGAAATAGATATATGTATTATAATAGAACATTAGACTCAATTATTTTAAATACATCTTATTTTTAAACGATTTCAAAAAGGAGGAGGTTCTTAATACGCCAGCGTGTTTTTTTGGATGTATGTTTCGCGTTAACTCCGAATTCACGAACCGATTTTCATGATTCTCGTTTTTGGTTGTTTTTGGTTTTTGCTTGAAAAAATGTATCACGTATGTTACATGATAACTCCATGCCGATGTGTGAACCGATTTTGATGATTCTTTTTGTTGAAAAGAGAGTACCTCAGTGTGGTCCCATTTAAATTTGAAGAAAACATTCCACCTCTAAGGGTGGCAAACTAGGGGATGAATCCGGTTTCGCGCACTTTCCGGTAACCGATTTCAATAAAACTTGGCAAATAGATGTAATCAAACTTTTGAGGTCGATTTTTTTAGTACTTTTTACTGAGATTATTATATATTCTAATTCCTTTTCTATGTTTGATTAAATGATACATAAATATTAAAACGTAACCGTAATGTAACGTATAACGCTATATATAATCCGTAATAAGAGTCGTTACAGGACAGGCCAGCCTAATGTGGAGCCAACTTTAAATCATTGCACAGTGATTTCAGAAATAGCATTACGTTCGCAATGCATGTAATGTTAAAAGGTATAATGAGAAATAAAACTATTTTTGTCGGATCTAAATCGCGTATATTTGTTTTTTCTCAGCCCTTTGAGCCCTTTAGTGGCCCCGAAACATTTGTTTTACATAAAAAATATAGTTTAATTTTCCATGTCTAACAATCACGAAAACCTAAGAACTCGATTCATATCGAGAATAGCGGACTGTGTCAAAAGCACCATTTTCTTTTCAGAAAGATGATAAAAAAATTACTGAGACGTATCTGGCACGCAAAGAAAACCATCCTCATATAATTTTTTAAGCACTGGAAACCTCGGTGTCTTTTTCATAACAAAATTTAGCACATTTTGAATGCAGCTGTGCAAAAAAAAACTCAAAAGTGAACTATTATGAATTTGAGCGACCATTCTTGAAAAGCAGCGACATAATGTTAATTTAGCGTAAACTTGTTTCTAGAAATTTCGTACTGATTTTTTTAATTCGTGGTGCCAAATAAACGTATTGCTTATCTCTTTATTATTATTTATACAACTTATATCTAAGTACGGTGTCCGTACGTATCACACGAATTTAAAATGTAGAGTAGATAGCGACATCTACAAATATTTGTATACTGAATGCAACTTTGTCATGTATTTGCTAGGATACAGAGGTGTATTTGCCGTACAAAATTGTCAAATATTTTACGTATCCGCTAGTGACAACTGTCACTATAAACTCATGATAGAGCTTAGAGAATGAAAAAATATTGATAGAGGCATTGTTATGAAATACGTGACAAATTTCATAACTATCATAACGCTTCTCGTAATGCATCTCATTGCAGCAATATTGCACAGCAGGCACGTCGCAGATAATGCTCTTTCTAAAAAAAAACAAATGCGTGTGATTTGCACCTTATCCATCTAGTATACGTTTGATCGTGCTGTTTTACGTAATAATGGATTCTTCATTCAAAACTCATGGACATATTTATTAGTCGACTTCAAAAGGAGGAGGTTCACAATTCGACTGATTCTTATTTTGTATGTTACGTAGTAACTCGGTATTTGTGAACCGATTTTGATGAAACTTTTTTTGTTGAAAGCCTCAGTAGTGGTCCCATTTAAATTTTAAAAAATATTCCATCTCTAAGGGTGGCAAACTACAACAACAATAGGTATACTAACTATAACAAAAAACAATAGGTATAATTCCGCTAACTTTTGTGGTACTCTGTACAGAAATTATATGGAACACTAAAGAAAGGTTGAATTATGATAACAACAAACCAACGTTTCGGGCCCTTTACAGGTCCAAGGGTCACGGTGAACTGGACCTGTAAAGGGCCAAAACCGTTGATTTGTTTGAAAAATCATTGTTTCATTCAAATCATGAACATTGTTACCATAATTCAACCATTTTTTGCGTTCCTCCATTATATAAACAGATTCATTTAAATACGTACGGACGGCAACAGAGCAAGCTACACGTTGACGGATCTTGTTCTATTCATTTTATATACGTGATATTCGGATAACAGTGTATTACAGCTTGATGTGCTGTTGACTATACACATTTATTCACATTAACATTATGTAGATGAGATAGCTCAATCTTCCATCATTGCTCGTGTGGCTTACGCTTACGGCTAACGTTGGTTTGTTAAAAAACAAATATACGCGATTTAGATCCAAAAATAAAAATTTCATTCCGTATGTATAACAATCACGAAAACCTACGAACAACATATGTTAAAATGTACCTGTTTTTTGAATTGACTCCAAGTTTTCGCAACTCAGTGTCCAGTTATGTGACGATAATGACGAAACTCGCTCCCTCACACGCTATAGAAATTGACTTTATTTTACAAGTTCACGTAATGCAGTGTTAAGCGTACTAGAAAATAACCACGGTCAACTAATAGTAAATAAATAATAATAACGCACACACTCAACATAGCCCCACACTAGGGAAACCCTGTGTCGCGTGTGCCATGGACACACACATAGACAACCACAAATTATACCCAAACTCACGAGAGAAATAAATGTAGGCCATACAAATATTTCTCCCGGCCCGGGAATCGAACCCGGTGACCTCTGCGTGGCAGTCCGGTATGGCAACTGATCGGCCACGGAGGCAGTTAAAAACAATAAAAAATAAAAGGGTCAAACTGGCCACTACATGAGATATCTTTAGAAATCTATTTTTCACTTTAAAGGTAAGTAAGTACAGTACAGTTTTTTATTTCTTTTAACGTACACACTCATAGCCCCGCACTAGGGAGACTGTGTCGCAAGAGCCATGGACACACACATAGACAACCACTAATTACACTCAAACTCACGAGATAAATTTATTAAGGCTATACAAATATTTCTCCCGGTCCGAGAATCGAACGCGGGACCTCTGCATGGCAGACCAGTATGGTAACCGTTAGGTCACAGAGGCAGTTTAAATGGCCTGTGTCGTATTTGCTTACATTTAAAAAAGATGCCGACTCTAATATTTTCCTTAAGTGCACGTTCGAATGTACATGGGTTAAGGTGGATATATTTCACAACAATCAGGCAAGACCGTGAAAATATGTCTTGATTTAAAAACCTTGAAAACACCTGTAAAAGTTTGTTTATACTTTCAATTGTGACGACCTAGTTTTTGCGAGAAACTACGTTATTATCCTCCAAATTATATGTATCAAGGGTCTTTTTAATTATTTCAATTTGGTATAATGCATACCGGTACTAGATGACGAGTGGCAGTGTAAGATAAAACCAAATATGGTTTTCGTATCTTCGTACAATTATGCAAATGTAACCTCTGTAATGATAATCCTCAATGTAATGATACAAAAGGTACCAATCATAAAGAAAAATCTGGTAAGATCTGGTAATAATAATAATAACGTACACACTCAATATAAATAGTAATATTCAGTCATATATAGTATAGTTGCAATATTAAATATGTTTGCTATAGAAAATATTTTATGTAGGTTAAATATTTTATAATTACAATTTTTGGCTTTAAGTGATACAAAAACATGCACAATTGTTTCTTTTCGGTATGAGAAAACCGCGGGAGAACCATGTTTTCTGTAAATCCAATGTTTAAGTTACATTTCCTTTTGTCTACACTTTGTATAAATAACACTTAATAGACACAGTCGTGTAAAACAACAACTTTGAGTCAGTTATACTATCATCCTGTTATTCCCATTTCTACAATTTAAGAGCTTTGTGACACATGCCTATTAATTGCGCTAAGATTGAATTGTATCACTGAATTAGTGAGATTTGACATGCGTAATCAATTCATACCCCGTCAACTAATTCTATTAATAGTCAGAGACCTATTAATATTTTTTTGAATTGATATTCAATTATTTTTTATGTGAAATTACTCCACTAGTTCAAACAAAGATCAAACACTCAGAAATTCCGGATTCGAAGCGATGTCTTCTAGCATACCGTGTCAAGCGCTATACCACAACCAAGCCACGGAACGAACCAGCGAATCTCATGAATTTTTCTACGTGTTTTGTTGTCGTATCTTTGCATTTGGGTTTTCAACTCAAAGATATAATTATCTTAAACTATGTATGCGCTTTATGTTTTACTAAGCACGTCAATCACACAGCTTAAAAGAATTTTTTTTGTTTCCATAATTATAATGCCAGAATTATCCATAGCACAAATGTGATTTACAGTAATTTAAAAAGAAATCGTAATTGCACATCACATTTTAAATTTCTAGAAACATTTAGAAGTATCAGATTGAAGTGAACGTATTCATGTTTTTATTAAACAATGTTTAATAATATACAAAATAGAACTTCAAGTTAAAAGTCGTTCAGACAGGGCTCCAAACTTTTTCATTACTACATACCATAACGTAATCTAGGATATATGAAAAATTTTGTTAGAATTTACAAATATACTAACTCTGGAGATTACTTTACATCTTGTATCAATATAAAAATAAATGAGCCAACGACACTTTGTATTGTCGCATTTTCATACTAAGTATAGTAGTTTTCATACTAAGTAGAGTAGAGTAATTTATTTCATACTATCAATGCTGTGACATTACAATTATTAAAAATACAATGTCAAGGGATAAAATTGATCGTCAGTAATGCAAACAATAATAACGAATATAAAATAAAGTAGTATAACTACTACTTGTCTAAATACAACGAAGTCAAGTAAATTACAATTGTTTCAAAAGAAACTCATCGACAAAAGGAGTTTTAGTCGGGTGTTATATCATAAATTCTATAATACAAGTATCATAATAGGGGTAATAAGGTAGTAAGTATCCTGAATTAAGATCATTATTGACCATGTAAGTATTATTCATACAGAAGCCGCGACCACGGGATCTGTATGGGATCAGTAAAGGGTTCGAAAAGTTGCTTCGTTTGAAAAACATACGTGATTTAAAACCGAAAAAGAAATAGTTTCATAATCCAATGAGATTATTATATTCATGAAATTATTAATTGCTGCGAATGTAAATTAGTTAAGCACACTTACAAAATAATTCATTATTAAACCCAACTTACACAAATATAATTATTTAAAGTCACAATCCTCCTTTAGATATATTATCGTGTACAACAGTGCGTACCTACGTACTAATCATCTAGGACGTTGCTGTATATACAATATTATACTTGTTTACCTAAACAGGAGTATATTTGTTAACAACCAGTTTCCGCGGTCATTATAAAATAGAAGGAGTACATATGTAGCGCAAGGGCAATTTTATAGACTAGTTTACATGACATTGCTATGCAATGGTTATATTCACACTTAAATTATAGAGGAAGTTCCAAGTTAACTAGAATATAACGCCTTTTGGGTTATTCACGGAAAAGCATTCAAAAACATAACATTTTGTAACTATTGTTTATTGTGTAGCATTTATTTATTCAACATTTTCGAACATAAAACACACAAGTGTTTGTATTTACAATTAACATGTCACACGTCCTAGAAACGCACAGTGTCCCAAACAATTTTGGTACCAGAGTCACGGTGTCTCTGACGTGCAACTAGTTTCATCCATTATTAAAAAAATATACAAATTAACAAAAAAATTAAAGCAAAAAATTACCAAAAATGTTTAGGATCGTGTGTTTCTAGGACGCATGACAAGTTAATATAAGGTATAGGTATCTTGGATTGGATATAGTAATTTTTTTTGAATATCATGTTTTTTATACCCATGACATTAATCTTTTTTTTTTTTTTTGTGAAAACATTTCACTGACTTGTTATTATCTTTGGTACAAATATCGAACAAACACAAAGTGTTATTAAGATCGAAGGAATTTTTTATTCCTTTCGATCCAATAACAACAACTACCTGAATTTTAATTTATTCTTCATAAATTGTTTATTAGTATGTAATTTTTCATTGGCAGGTTAAAAAATTGCCAAAAGATGACCGTCACGCCGGAGAACGTCGTGGCCCAAAGTGGCACCTGGGGCGCCACCAGCTTATTCTATATACTGCTGGTGCCAACTATAATACTCTGGTACGCATACTGGAGGATGTCGCGCCGACACATGTACGCTCTGGCCGAGAAGATTGGGGGCCCTAAGGGAGTACCCATTTTGGGAAACGCGCTGTATTTCACCGGTGGTTCACATGGTACGTACCATACATATACGAAACGACAATTACCTGAAAAGACGTATACATGTTGCAAGTATCGTTGTTAGAATCACAGATACTACTAACTAATTCAGTGCATTTTAGCTACTTGGGTAGGGTCGATAGTCATACAGAGTCGACCAACTCTTAGATAACAATCATGTTTGTGAAAGTAGAGCGCAAAAGTGGTGTAACTCACATAAAATTTTCTTCTACAACATTACTTTAAATGATATTAAAGTACATAATTATTTTATATTTGGATTCTCTTTTGATGTACAAAAAGATTATTAATTAAATATTGTTTATACTTGAAGATAGTACGCAATAATGCACGCACTCATAAGAGTCTATGCACGAGAGAAACCCTGTGTCGCAAGTGCCATGAACACACACTCATAGACAGCCAGAAATTACACCCAAACTCACGAGAGAAATAAATGTAAGCTATACAAATATATCTCCCGGCCCGGGACTCAAACGTCAGGACCTCTGCGTAGCAGACCAGTATGGTAACCGTTTGGCCACAGAGGCAGTTTAATTAATTTAATTATGCTTTAGTATCATTTATAGTGTAGAAAAAAAATTAACGTGGGTTACACTACTTTAGCGCTGATAGCCTCATCTTCAAGAATAGTGGCTCTGACCAAAATAATTTCTATTAGTCTATTATGCAGATCATTCAGAATATGCCAAATTTCATTGTGAAAAAGGCACACCGAGCTTTTTATTGGTTATATATAATTGTATAAACAAGTGACAACATAGAGGTGTAGGATTGGTCGTGACACGTTATACATGCTTCCGTTGTTTCTGAACCATTTTCCTGATCAATTATGTTGATTTTGAGAAAGACCACTGATCTAGAAAACCATCGAAACATAAATTAAACACCTACGTGTACTTCAAACTTAACATATTCAACGAAGTTACTTGACGCAAGCAAATTGAATGTTAATTGACAATTAACAATTAACGACATCACTATTCGTGTACTTCATTTGACGTAAGTCCGGGTAATTAACAATTAAAATTTTAATTGTGCTACGACTGAAAATCTAAATCTACCTATCTACCAATACTACCAATCACGTAAACATGGGTACTGTCATTTGATTGACTATGACTGTTTACTAACATGAACTTGCTAATAATGAATGCTTCAAGGACCCCTTACCTTTTGTGTTTCAAATTAAAGTATAATCTAATCCTCATCACAAGCATATAGGAAAAATTGATTCGTCATGCTTCGCTTCATCATAAAATAATAATCAAAACCTTAATAATCCTTTTAAAGAAATAGGTCAAAAGATTTTAATAGCAGTAGACCTCCTTCTAAAAGTTTGTCCAGAGAGGTACTACCACCTTGGTTATTTTTGCCGCCAAGCAGTAACGTGGGCATTACTGTATTAGAGTTTTGAAAGGTTACGGTGCCGGTATAATATGTCTCAGGGTGACGGGCGTAGTGGCAGTGCCCCACAAATCTTTAAAAATGACTGTATTAAATACCTTCTCTAGTACCTAAACACGCAATTGTTTCCTGGGATAGATATGTTATTCATATCTAAATTAAACGATTTTTAATTTACCTCTATTTATTTGTTTTTTTTTCTAATCCCAGCATTTTGTTACAGATATATTTAAGACCATAATAGCAAAGAGTAACGAGTTTGATAACGAGGCAGTAGTCAAGCTATGGATTGGACCTCGTCTTTTAATTTTCTTGTACGACCCCCGTGACGTTGAGCTCATCTTGAGCAGCCACGTTCACATCGATAAGGCAGAAGACTATAGATTCTTCCAGCCTTGGCTTGGCAATGGACTTCTCATCAGTACTGGTATAAAATTTGAAATATTTTTAAACATTTTTGTAAAAATCGTCTTAATTAGAAAAGGGAGTTTTTATGTATTTCATACATAGTTGCACATAACCTGACTTAAATTGGCATGCAACAGTTTCTTTTGATATTCTAATTTTATTCTTTAGGCCAGAAATGGCGCTCGCATCGCAAACTGATCGCGCCCACTTTCCACTTGAATGTCCTGAAGAGCTTCATCGACCTGTTTAATGCTAATTCCCGCGCAGTCGTTAACAAACTCAAGAAGGAATCTGGAGTTTTCGACGCTCACGACTACATGAGCGAATGCACCGTTGAAATTCTTCTAGGTATGTATGTATTTAATATCCAATAAAACAAGTCTTGTTTTATTTATACTTTTATTATCAATTTAAAGGACACCTATACAAGTGTTATTAATTTTGTTTTTTGTTCGGAGGTTCCTAGTAGATACTACTTTATCTTTTATTACCTATACAAATCCAAATACACAAAGGTCACCAATCCCTTCTGAAACTAACTATTGACGATTCATAAAATAGTCACGTCCACAATCCCTATCTACTCTTAATATAATAACTTATTTCAAGGTTTATAAATACTATTGAGGACCTCCATGGCATATTAAATATTTTTAATATTTGTATGAAAAACAAACAAAACCGCTACTTATTGTGCTTTAATAACCGACATATTTTATTATAAACCAGCTAAAGAACACAAAGAAACTTCACTGTAAAAAATATTAGTCATGCAAATGATGTGGTCAAGGCGATCAAATCCGTTTGATGTCTATAAGAATTAGACCAGACTTGTTCAAAATCTAAAAAGTGCACGAAAAAAATGTAGAATAAACAGCAATTTGAATTTCTAGTCACGTAGATAAAGGCTGGTGACAACACCGCCGGAACCTTCCATTGAGGCAAACGTAGAGTCGCGAATATACTTACTAGTATTACGACACTTAAAGATATACGTACGGTTGACTTTGCGACATATGATTATAAAATAATGTGTACCTTCAATGATAATTTAATTCCTAATAGATTACGTTGATTGGATGAGATGAAGGGAAGACGCAATAGTATTAGTCAAGAATAAGGACTACGTTTCTAACTGTTATTATTAAGCTATGCGAAAAAGATATTTTTCGCATAGCTTAATAATAACAGTTAGAAACTGGTTATGTAAGGAAAATGAAGGCAAATAGAGCGCAATATCGTAATTCGCGTACAGTACATATAATTTACTTAGGTAGACAATATGTAACCAATAAGAATCTGTTGAGTCACCATTGTTCGTGGAAAAATATGCAGTGAGTAGTAAAATTAGACGCATGTCGAGTTTGGCGACCCCCCACATACGCACGTAGCTTTAACTGCCAATACTCACCATCAATAGCTGATGGCACTTAAGAACCACTATTGTGTATTATGCAATTGTTTCCATTTCAATAGAGGTCAATAGCTTCTCTCCAATTGTAACTTAAATGTGCAATTTCGAAACCACCGATTCGTTTCAGAAACTGCTATGGGAGTTAGCAAGAGCACTCAGGACCAGAGTGGTTTCGAATATGCCATGGCTGTAATGAAAATGTGCGATATTCTGCACTTGAGACACACCAAGATTTGGCTGCGGCCGGAAAGTCTGTTCAAACTCACGTCATATGCCAAGAATCAAAGCAAACTCCTTGATATTATCCATGGCTTGACAAAGAAGGTACTTATAGAGTAATTTGAAAAGACCAATAATATTATTTGTTGTCACGTGGTCGGCGTAATTTGAGATCCTAACTATAGTGTGTTTAAAGGTTATCAAGAGGAAGAAGGAGGAACTGAAGAATGGCAAAACACCGACTAACCTGGCTGAGACTGCTGAATCTAACTCTACAGAAACTATTCCTAACAAAGTTACATCTGTCGAAGGTCTCTCCTTTGGTCAATCGGCTGGACTCAAGGACGATCTGGATGTTGAAGAAAATGACGTTGGTCAGAAGAAACGTCTTGCTTTCCTCGACTTACTTCTAGAAAGCTCTCAGAGTGGAGTTGTTATCTCAGACGAAGAAATTAAAGAGCAAGTTGACACTATCATGTTTGAGGGTCACGATACCACTGCCGCTGGTAGCAGCTTCTTCCTGTCTATGATGGGTATCCATAATGATATTCAAGACAAAGTTATTCAAGAACTCGACCAGATCTTCGGTGATTCAGATCGTCCTTGTACTTTCCAGGACACACTTGAGATGAAGTATCTCGAGAGGTGTCTCATGGAGACACTTAGGTTGTATCCACCAGTGCCAATCATCGCTCGTCATTTGAAACAGGACATTACTCTTCGTAAGTTATCTTAAATTCGACAAAAAAAATACAACATGTACCCTTGCTTCTCTACACAGAATTAACATGTCTTGTTTTTCCTTGGATAGCATCAAATGGCAAGACACTACCAGCGGGTTGCACAATCGTCATAGGTACATACAAACTACACCGTCGCGCGGACGTGTACCCGAACCCTGAAAAATTCGACCCTGACAATTTCCTACCCGAGCGTTCTGCCAACCGCCACTATTATGCATTCGTGCCATTCTCTGCTGGCCCTAGGAGTTGCGTCGGTAAGTATTAATTATCGAAAATTACACAAAAATTTAGTTCAAAGCTATTTGCCCTTCACTAACCACATTTGTTTGGTGTTAAGGCTATTTTTAAATAGATAACATTCTTGAACGTGTTTATTAGGTCGCAAATACGCCATGCTGAAACTCAAGATCATACTGTCGACCATCCTAAGAAACTTCCGCGTCCATTCCGACCTTACGGAGAAAGATTTCCAACTGCAGGCTGACATTATCCTCAAACGAGCTGAAGGTTTCAAGGTCCGCTTAGAACCCCGTAAAACAATGGCCAAGGCATACTAAGCCTCCTAATACTAGTACCTTTAATAATGTATACATTCTAGTATTAAGACAAATTGTGCTTGTGATACCTAGTAACATACTTACTGACTAAATATTGTTATTAAATATGTTAAGCATTGATGACATAATGGTGGTAGTACTTTGAACTCGGGATAGATGACGGTGCAAAGATTGCTATTTTCGCTCATTCACATTAAAGTATGTGACAAATTATATCTAGTTTATAAATAGATAAATGTTTGTATACTTACGATGAATGGATAATAAAATATTGGCGAACACGACAACTGTGCTTATTATTTGTTATTTATTGCCGAAGATGCAAGAATACAATTTTTGGGTAATTTCATTATAGCGATGTCACACGATACCTTGCGACGGCGTTGCGACGACGCTTTGTACTACCTACATAATAAATCAATCAGAACGACATACCACACAGTGTGCCACTGCACCTGCTCAGCAACTTAGTACGATGAAATCACAGCGACGAAGAAACGCCCTTGTGGCATCGCTCTTAGCCGTTGTCAATATAAAATGGTTGGAAATAAAAAAGTGGCTGCCCTAAATAGAAAACTCGTTGTAGGAGCACAAATTTGGCACAGCCTCATGTAAGCATAGTGCTGGACAATAAAAAGGGCTATTGGAATAATATAGAGGTAAACTAAGAAGTTTGTACTTGTTATTAAAGTATACCTACCACTGTGTAACTATCCGCTTGTCTTTTAAATTTAAATTGAATATCCTGAGACGGCGCTTCAGATACTAACGCTTCCAATAAACAAATTAATGAAATAGAATACAAAACTCAGGTACTGATTTAGATACCGACACAGGTTAATTGCTTAATAGGTTACCTTTATAGACAAAACAGTAAGAGCCCCATGCACATGGTGTATTTTTGACGCGCGTTAACACGATGCAAACGAGATTCAGTCACAGCCACTAAACCTTTGAAAACATTCCCAAATTTAGTGTGTCGCCGTAATTGCGCATTTGTGATACACAAGCCATCTGCGCATATAAAACATGCCATGTGCATATATGCACGGTTGCGGCGATAAAGACGCGCTGCAGTCGCCATTTTGATCAGCGACTCCTCAACAGTAATACAATGTCATCGGTCACATTACACCGCTTACATTAGCTTTGTTTTACTGCTTTAAAAAGGAAAAAAGTAAAATAAGCAACTCCATTGGATAGACAGACTCTTTTATTTGCGAAAGAAAACTGTGTGGGCATTTTAATATAAAGTTTAAAAATTTAGAGCAATACCGAAGACTAGCTGGTGCTCGCGACTTCGACTGCGTAGAATAAGTACTTCGAGTAGCTTTCTGTACTACATTAAATTTCAAAGTTATACTTTTATACAACTTGCACTCTGCAATCAATATTTTAGTATATTGAGATAAATAGACTACAAGACATTTTGATCCTTTCTTCTTCTTCTTTCTTCTTTCAGTCCTTGTAGTAGATCGGAGTTTTTCTTACGCGTTGAAGGACGAATATAAGCATATTGTTTCAGTACACATTTAAGAAGTCCATTTCCAATTTAAAACAAAAATCACAATTAATCTGTGAGGTAATGTTGACGGGACAATACCGCTGAAAATTAATATCGGTGTTTACGACAAAATCTACAAATTAAAAATAATATCTTGGTGGGAATTCTTATTCCACAAATTCCGACTGTGTAGCAAGTACTACGTTGGTGGAGATTTGCGGAACAAAATTTAATTAAATTTCCAGGACCCCCACCAAACATACCCATAAATCGATTAAAAACCACGTAAAATGCGATACAGACAAAGTTCGAACGCACTACTCGCTCACGTTTATATAGCTTTGTAATCACGTTTGAGTCGATACAAAAGCGACAATCTGCTTTTTAAGCCTCTGCGATGCCGTAAATGCGCATCGTCTACAAATATAAAAAACAGGGACCCTATATAAATAAAAAGTTCAGGAAAAAATACTTACTGCCATTCTTTTATTCGGTTATTCCTTAAATTTTGTTAAATAAAATAACATGATTTGGTTGTTTATACAATTTTTTACAAATTCCCACGTAAAGTGACTATGTACATATGAACTTAAGTCATATTGTGTTAAGTGGGTACATTATATATTTATATGCTTGATGACCTTTGGAAGACTTGGTGATAGCTTTCTGCAATGCACCACTGAGTCTTGAATATAGTCCTCTAATAAGTTTCCTATGCTACACTGATACGATGGTCCTCCGCTGTGCCATGTCATGACTATTTAGTAAAACATTCCACTTGTATGCCGACGCTTGATAGTCCAGCCATAATGTGGAGCACAAACGGGAAAAAAACATACTATTCAATACCCTTGTTAGAAAATAATAATAAATGTACCATAAAATTCTTAGCGTGTGTGTGGATTGTGTGTACAATCTAAAGGTACAATATAGATAATAATGTAACAACCCTACGTTCCGAGCGAAGTGCAGGTATTTACGAGCCGAACAGGCAGGAATTGCCATATTTGATATTACATGTATTATGTGCTATTATACTATCGTTTAGTGTCACTGATCCAAGCAGAAGCGATCTGCGCTACATCTTTTTCGCTCTTATTGCATGGACATAAAGTTTTTTCTGATTGACTCAAGCTGATTATATATTGATAACTGTGTTGACTCGTGTACACAGCAAGGTTTTTAAATGCGTCTTTAGATGCGAAATAGAAATGATAGTAGTACTACATTCGCAAAGGTTAAATATTAAGAATTTACGTGTGTGTGAATTGAGTATGCACCCTCTGTAAAATGTTTAAAATGTGTTAGTCATTTAGTAAAAGTTCTAAAACAATTGTAGAAACCAATCTTTCTA